GACTATATATAGCTTGTGTCAAAGTGACATAAAAGTAGCAAGCACACATAGGCTACTCATGTTTGTATTTATCCTTAGCAGGGTCAGGGCAGTCACCTGTAGCCTGTTTCCTCACAATCCATTGTTGCTGGAGTTTTCCTGCCTGGCCCACAGTCAGGACAAATCTCTCTCACCTGCCAGTCCCACAGCAGCTCAGACCCAACCAAGTAAACACAGAGACTTATATTGGTTACAAACTGTATGGCCGTGATAGGCTTCTTGCTAACTGTTCTTACAGCTTAAATTAATCCATTTCTATAAATCTATACCTTGCCACATGGCTCGTGGCTTACCGGCATCTTCACATGCTGTTTCTCATCATGGCGGCTGGCAGTGTCTCTCTGACTCAGGCTTCCACTTCCCAGCTTTATTCTCCTCCTTGTCCCGCCTACACATCCTGCCTAGCCAATGGCCAATCAGTGTTTTATTTAGACCAATCAGCAACACATTTGCCATACAGAACATCCCACAGCAATCCATCCTTCTTTATTATTTAATTAAAACATGTCATCTCTCCCCTCCCTCTTCATTGTTCTCCCCCTCCCATATTGCATCCCCCTACCAAGTTCATGGTGGCCTCTTCTTTAGTCAGTGTTGCTGCATATACGTGTACATGCATCCACACAGGAATACATCCTGCTATGTCTGCTCAGAACTGCTTGCATGTGGAAGTTTCTAGGGCTGCATTTCTTGAGTGCTTACATTTTGTAGATAGGCAGACACGGATGTCCAGTGCTTCACACAACAGTATACCACTGGATTTTTAAAAGAAATAAACTCTTGACGGCCTGTGTTCTTGTGTACCAAAATCATTCTGAATCACTAGCTACATTTCGTGACATTTGCTTTCTCCTGCTCTGAAATCTATGCCAGTTTTGTGGTGACAAACAGGAAATGCTTCCTGTTTACCCAACATAGAAATGATCCTATAAGACAAAATTAACTTAACACATGGAATTAAATTTTTCTCTTAGTTTTCAAAAATATTTTGCTTAAATGTATTAGAGCAGCCCAAGGCATACTTTGAACCTCACATATAAAATACATGTAAGTTTTTTGGTAAACATATTATTGAATATAATTATGAATTTAAAAAAACCTCAATAATAAATGAATCATCATTAAATATTCTGTCAAGAGGATATGTATGCTACATAAAATATATTAAAAGTAGTCAAAATTAAATAGTATGAAAGAGGCATTTAAGAAAAATAAAAGGATGATAGTTGCAATGTATAAAGCTGGGAAGAACTCATGCTAAAAGTGATTTTCGTTTTTCATCCTACTGCTCAGACAATTGCAGAATATGAAGGTTTAGACTGTGTGGGCGTCTAGTTTTTGTGACTTTGATCTAGGTGACCAAGCAGAGCTGAATAAACTGGCTAATGTCATGAATATGCTTTGATCTTGTGAACTGTGCTATGGCTTCCCTCTCCTTATGTCTGTTCTCTCCTGTATGTGTGGAAATATAAAAAGTTAAATTTCAATTTATTTTTGAACTATTTTCTCCTAGCAAAAAAAGTGTAAAGCACTGTATATCAGTGGATAATTAATGAATCTTGTTTCTTTTCCCTTTCTTCTGCATCCCTAAATTGCACTCAGATTAAATTATAATGTCCCTTCTGGGATTTTACAAAAAGAGCCATATATATCTACTATTGAAGAAAAAATAAACGAAATGGTTTTTAAAGCAAGAAATAAGAAGTCACAGACAAGGCATGAAGGTGTTTGGTTTAGTCATAGCAGACTTTATGGTACAAGACACGACTACACCCTGTTCCCACTCCTCTAACCAGCAACAAAACCAGCAATCTCCCTCTCTGTCTTATAGATCTTTCTTTTACAGTTCAGAGACCCAAATACAACTCCCCTATAATAAGTAGGATAGGTAAGTTGTAAAAACAGAGCAAGATATTAATTGCAAATTGTGTTTTTAAAACTGTAGCAAACTGGAACATGCTTTTTGTCACTACAGAAGCAATTGCACATGGTTTAGAAAGCATTGTTCTCGGAGAAAAAGAAGCCTGATGACTAGCCATTGGTTTGCCTTCTCTGTAATCAAATGTCCATAAAAAAAAACTCTCCAAATACCTGCATTCAAGACCAGTTTCAGGTTGTCTTTTAACTTCATAGTTTATGGTGATTCCAGATGCTAATGGTAACAGTGGCTATTTAGAAACCATCAAAAACCTTAAACTATTGAAATGCCAAGCCAGTAATCCAGGCATCTGGCAATTAAACCATATTTCCTCCTCTTACAAGAGTGTGGTCAGTAGACAATTCTTACTATCTTCTATTTCAGCAAGAATAACATGAAACAGGTTTGTTGTGATAAAAGTTACTTTTTGTAAAGTATTGAGGAGACTTGAAACCCAGTACCTTAGTTATTTTTCAATAACTGTGGTATGATACTATGACAAAGGTAACTTATAAAAGAAAGCAGTTAATTTGGGGATAGAGAGTTCAAGAGGATTAGATTCTGTGACCATGATAGTGGAGAGCATGGCAGCAGATAGGCAAGCATGGTGCTGGAACAGAAGATGAGAGTTTACTTTACGTGTAGAGACAATACCTACTAGGCAGAGAGAGAGAGAGAGAGAGAGAGAGAGAGAGAGAGAGAGAGAGAGAGAGAGGGAGGGAGAGCACGAGCTAATTGGGAATGACGTGGGCTTTTGAAATCTCAAAAACCAATCCTAGTAGCACACTTACTTCAGTAAGGCCACACCTTCCAATCCTTCCCAAACAGTTCCACCAATTGGAGACCAAGCATTCAAATTTATGAGTTTATGGAGGCCATTCTCATTCAAACCACCACACTCAGCAAGAACATGAATTCTCAAAAATGAAATTATCCACCTTAATAATACCCCTAAAGATGTCCAATTGATATTTTTGAGTACAACTCGTCCAGGCTACTGATTGAGAAAGAAAATGAGACAGTAGTGGTAGCATTCTTTAATAGATCATACTAGGTGCTGAAGTTTTACTTGCTACAGATTGACCAACTGTCCTTTGCAATACTGAGAAACGTGAAGAAGTAATAATTAAGAAGTCTCTAGGTCTGTGTGCCTTGTTAATGTCTCTCTAAGTTCCTAGAAGGAAGCTATCATGTCTTCTGCACAGTATAAAAATGTAGAGCATGTTTGAGGTGGGATTTAACAATGTTACAACAGCCTCATTTGTTAAGAGCACTCTGATTCATTTGTGCAATCATGGTAATTATATTTGTAGCTATCATGCTGAAAACATTTTAGAGCTATGCTGTTTAGAATAATAATAAGCATGATAGTATGCAACAGAATTAGATGTTTCACCAAATGCAGCTTTCAACAATGATTGTTATCAATATAGAATTACATTGTGCTTTCTGTTACCATTTGGGATTATTTTAAATTGAATTGATTTTTTAATTTATGCATACAACATACAAATTATAGATGTTCATGAGATATTTAACACATCTATTTATTGTGGACTCTTCCAAATAAAGGTAAACATACCTAGTTTCTTAAAACATTTGTTTTTCTATAGCACAAACATTCAAAATTATTTATTCTAGCTTTCAGAAATGTATGGCATATTGCTATTGCTATTGTTGTTTTCTGGTGGAATCACACACTAGAATTTCTTCATGATATCGAACCATAATTGATATTTTGAGTTCAACCTCTTATTATCACTTTTCCCTTCTCTCTAAGCTTCAATGGAATCAACTGTTTCAGATTTCACATCTGAAGAAACTTGTGTGGCTTGTTTTTTTTCTGTGCTTATTTTGTTTTTAACATAATGGTCTCTGATAACATTCATTGCCACAAATGACAGAATTTCACCCTCTTTCTTGATTCATGTCCTATTGTATGTATTTATAAAATTTTCTTTATTCAGCACCTAGAAATTTTTACCAATGACAAGAAAAAAATCAGGCAATTTTGTGAAATAACATCAAGGAATTCTGTTTTGGCCTTGGCACTGACATATTTTTCCAGAAAGAGCTTTCAAATGCTCTAATTTTGTTAATACTTCCATTTCATTGTGTTTCCACTTCCTATGAGGAGTGACTTCAGTTTCTATGCTTCTTAAACAGGATTACAAACTCAATACAATCCATATATATATATATATTCTTTGATGAAAGATACCTTGATGCTAGGTTCTTTTATGAAGAAGCTAGAAGCTAGAAGAAATGTCATAATGGTAACATTTCCATTACCATTGCCTGTTCCAACGTTTGCAATAACACATTTACTATATCCCTGTTTTAGTATAGGAAGACACAAATATTTTTAATCAGAGCTAAAATCTGCAAAATGAAGCCAAATATGTAGATCTTCAGACTGTCTAGACAACAAATAAGAGACAGGAAAAAGATAGATGTTCTCTCTCCAGCTCCAGTTTCAGTGGGTGATTAGGAAAGATGGTTTGTTCTTGCCAAGCAGAAATCAGATTTCATCTACAATCATTCACTGGTTGCCTTTGGTAACATCTGCTCTCCATTTTTCCACTCTAATGTGAATGATATTTAAAAAATAAAATGCAAACCAGCTACATCTGTCTTCTTCTTTTATAACTCCTGCTAGTGGGTACTGGGTAGGCTGTTTGGCATCATGAAATACAGGATAAGTAGCATTGCACGTAGGAGTTATGGGACTTTAAGTTGTAATTTTAAACACAAAATAAATCAATAAGATAATACAGTTGATATTTTATTATTTAATTAATTAATGTATTATTGAATATTTATTGTATCTCTCTGCTACACTAAGTGCTGGAACGAAACTTTAGTACAAATTTAAATAAAGCTTATTACATTGGTGACATATGTAGACTACAATTTCCATGTATTTTTACAAATATAAATTAACCATTATACTGTATATACATGTTTTTAAGGTCAACATATACTCTTCTCCCAGATATGACTCAGTTTTCTCTTCCTGTGTGCTTACTCCTGCCACCTTTAGGAAATAGTCAACTTCAACTGCCGGAAACTGGTGGCTACGATGCCTCTTTTTGCTAACGCGGATCCCAATTTTGTGACGGCCATGCTGAGCAAGCTGAGATTTGAGGTGTTCCAGCCTGGAGACTATATCATTCGAGAAGGTGCTGTGGGGAAGAAAATGTATTTCATCCAGCATGGCGTTGCTGGTGTCATCACCAAGTCCAGTAAAGAAATGAAGCTGACAGATGGCTCTTACTTCGGAGGTTAGTAAACATTCAGGGTAAGATAAGTCAGACATCTCGGAAATGTCTGTCCTAAGGCTTTCAGAGGCCTCTCGGGTTTGTCCATTTGGCATGTGAGCTTGTATTTGAATTCTTGCAAAAGCATTTGGAATGGATCTATATTTCAGGGTCACAAGTTCCATACAGGTGTATGTATAGTCATGTACAGTTGTACGTACACTAGCGAGGGGAGAGTTGTAACCACTTTATCTGGAACCAAGCAATACTGGATGAAAATAGCCAAACAGTGCTTTTTTTTTTTTTTTTTTTTTTTACCCTCAACCAAAAATCCCCAGAGTGTTCGATGACTCTTTTCATATCAGTTACAGGGGCCTCCTGTATTGCCCTACCAAGATTTTGAGTGTTGGTTATTTTGTGTCTACGCCTTTGTTAATATACACAAGAATTTTCTTCCTTGACTTTTTAAGGTTTTATAGGTGCAGTGAGAAAACAAGGAAAGGCAGAAGTCTGTCTTTAGATGTGTTGCTGAACGTTGCCGTCACCACTGTTGTTCACATATAATTGACAAAATTCATGGGATCCCCTAGCTCTAAGCAAGGGAGAGAAGTTCATACTGTGGTTGGGCAGTAACTTACGATGCTGAAAATCCTGATTATTTGGTTTGTTTCCAACATGATTGTAGTAAAATGCATGCTTATGTTTATATACATGCACAAAACATCCCCTTTAAGAGAACAGAATTACTGTCTAAATATTTTTTAATGTATTTATTTTAAAAAAGTTTTTTTTCATTTTACATACCAATCTCAGCTCTCCTTCCCTCTCCTTCTCCTTCCCCCTACCCGCCCCCAATCCCATCCTCCATCCACTCCTCAGAGAGGGTAAGGCCTCTCTTGGGGAGTCAACAAAGTCTGGTATACCAAGTTGAGGCAGGACCAAGCCCCTGCCCCTGGTATCAAAGCTGAGCAAGGTATCCCCACCCTAGGGAATATATTCCAAAAAGCCATTTCATGCATCTGGGATAAGTCCTGGTCCCACTGCCAGGGGCTCTCCAAACAGATCTGGCCACTTATCTTTCACCCACATTTAGAGTGCCCAGTTCAGTCCCATGCATATTCCCCAGCTGACAGGCCAGAGTCCATGAGCTCCCAACAGCTTGGGTCGTCTGTCTCTGTGTTTTTCCTCATCATGATCTTGACCTAGCTTGCTCCTGTGATCCCTCCTCCCTCTCTTCAACTAAGGTCTAGGAACTCAGCCCAGTCCTTGGCTGTGGATCTCTGCATCTGCTTCCATCAGTTACTGGATGTAGGTTCTATGATGACACTTAAGGTAGTCACTAATCTGATTATAGAGAAAGGTAAGTTCAGGCACCCTCTCCATTATTGCTATGGATCTTAGCTGGGGTCATCCTGTGAAATCCTGGGGATTTCCCTAGCACCAGGTTTCTCCTAGTCCCCAATGGTTCCTTCAACCAAGATATCTCTTTCATTGCTCTCTCTCTCTCTCTCCATCCCTCCCTCCACTCTAAATATTTTAAGGAGAGTGTGTGATTGTTGTGTGACTAGGTGATAAATATGTTGAAAGAAAACTTGGAAAGGAAAATTTTAAGGCTGATTTTGTGGGGCCAATGAGATGGCCCAGCTGGTAAAGGAGCTTGCTGCCAAGACTGATGGCCTGAACTGGATGCCTGAAACCCACATGGCAGAAGGAGAGAACTGACTCCCACAAGCTGTCCCCTGACCTCCACACATGCACCTTTGCACACACATGTCCCACTCAAATAAAACCAATAAGTAAATGTAAACTAAGATAACAAAAAGTTTGTGTTAAATTGACAAGCTTTGCAAATTCCAAGCCTCTTTTAATTACTTTACCGTTAAATTAAGTAACACAAACAGGGTTTACTACAAACACTGGGTGGGAATGGGTTCAACCACTAGCAAAGTTAGCATACCAGTGAAGGTCACTCTGTTGAGACACAAGATCAAGTCCAGTAGAAAAATCATTTTTCCTACTGTATGACTTAGTGATGTTGCACCTATGCCCATAAGTGAGACTTAGCTATAATTTTGCTGTTACTGTGATAATTTGTAGGATTTTCTAGGTCACTTTGGATATTAGTTTTTGCTAATCTTTTTGGCAAATAATTACAACTTAATCCAAATTTTCCTAATTCATACCTTCTCTCTGGTTTCTATTTCCTCCATAATGTCACATTGCACTTGATCAATAACATTTTCTTGGGTTCTCTTGATGAAGCTCCTTAGATTTTATGAACTGAGCAGTTTTTATGTGCTCTAGATCTTCAGCCCCCTTGAAGTTGTTGGATAGTTCTCATCATTAGAGTGTGGTAACATGTTTTGTGAGGAAGAGCAGGACAATAAAGCTCCATTCGCGGCTGACCATGTAACAGTCATGGAGCACCATCTGCACAGCTTCCTGCTGCTGGTATTTGGTTCAGTCAGGGTATTCTGAGAGAAACTTGGTTCCCTCATGTTCTTTATTTATTTACCTTTCATATCACCATATGAAATATAATCTAATAGACTTCATTGTAGGACTCAGATTGCTCAGATGTTTATTCACGTGGTGTCTATGTGTCCTTTACAATGGGTTTTTATTCACTCATTCTTTGTTCAGTTTGTGTTCTGTTTTCTGTTTAGTCTGCGAAAGGCTTATGGTGAATATTTTTCTTTCAGTGTGGGGTCCTCCATATGTCCAAAGGGTCCTTCATTCAATGGTTGGATACTAGTGTTTTAAATCAAGATTTTGTTACTAAGAATGTTCATATTACTTCTCTGTCATTATATCTAAGATTACTTAGCTAAATAAAGCAATGTTACACACATCTGCTTGTGGACAGACACACGCATGCACACACACATGGGCACAAACACAACACTATCTGATATTTGTACATATGTTTTTTTTTCCTATAACCATCTGCATCTGTATAAAGCTAAAATGAGTTCCTACTAACGTTTTCAAATTTAATCCATTACCACGTGGAGTAATCTGATCAAATCCAGTTTTTTTTTTTTAATTTTTATTTTTTTGGCTTTTTAAGACAGTCTTTCTCTGTGTAGCCCTGGCTATCCTGGAACTCAATTTTGTAAACCAGGCTGGCCTCGAACTCACAGAGATCTGCATGCCTCTTCCTCTGGAGTGCTGGGATTAAAGGCTTGTGCCACCATTCCTGGCTTCCAATTTCTATTCTTATTTGTAACTCCTCATTCACTAGCCAAGATGTCCCTCTTAAATGTGTTTTCAATTTGGGTGTACATGTATAATTATTCCATAATAGACAATTTGCAGGTCTATGAGAAACAACTTTCATCAGCTAGAGTTCAGTTGTATGTATATACTTGCCTCGATTCTTATAGCCTCCATGGACTTCCAAAGGCACTGAAGTCAGTATCTTATTTTTCTGTCCCTATCAGTGACACTGTTTTACTCAGTCATACTGCACTGTTTGTCACAATTTCCATATCACCCAGTGCCTTAGTGTTCTGTTGTGGTGAAACACCATGACCAAAAGGCAAGTTGAGGAGGAGAGGGTTTATTTGGCTTACACTTCCACATCATAGTTCATCATTAAAGGAAGCCAGGACATGAACTCAAATAGGACAGGAACCTGGAGGCAGGAGCTGATGCAGAAGCTGTGGAGGGATGCTGCTTACTGGCTTGCTCCTTTGGCTTTCTCAGCCAGCTTTCTTATAGAACACAGGCCCACCAGCCCAGGGGTGGCACCACCCACAATGGGCTGGGCCATAACTGATCAATCACTAATTAAGAAAATGCTCTACTGGCTGGCCCCCTGAATTTATGGGGGGCATTTTCTCAGTCTAGAATTCTTCCTATCAGATGACTATAGTTTGTGTCAAGTTAATATAAATCAAGCCAGTACACCCAGCTATGTTCTGACCTCAAAAATTGCTTTTCAGTTTGCATATAATAAAGCATACTCTGTGTTAAAGAAATTCATAGATTTTCCACAGATGAGTATTGTCCTGTATATACCATTATTTTAATATCAAACCTTACTCTTTAAAAAGAAAGAAGACAGAAGTCCCCTGTGCATCACTGATTTGGTCCTGTCACTTTCAGAACCTATAGTAAGTGCTGTTATATTTAAATTAAAGCTCCAATTTCAATTATTTAATTGAAATTATGAAGGAAATTGAAGTTTTGAGGTATTCACCTTTTATGAAATGACCTGCATATAATCTCATATTATTTATAGGAGTTATGTTACTAGTTTTGTTTAGTTTTGCTTCCTGGGCTATCTTGTTTTCTCCATGGAGAGAAAATTTGTTCTGCACTTCTGATGGACACATATGTAGATTCCTTTTTACTGCCTTGTTAATTAGCTGGCATTACCAACACTGTGCAGTATGAGGAACATTCTTATCATGATACTCATTGGGGAAGAAATGATCTACATTTTTACCGTTAAACGTAAGACTAGTTGAAAGGTGTTTGAGATTTTTTTTCAAGTTTTTTGATTATATTGAGGGTAGTCTACATAATTATTTTAAGTAATAAATGGAATATTGATCTTGTCTATTTTTGTCTGTGTGATTTAGAATAAATATTTTTATTTATTTTCTATTATTTTATTTATTCTAAATAAAATAGAGCACAGTTTCCTTTCATTCCTTAACTTGTTTTTGCAGTTGATTACATTTGGATATTGAATTTTGATCCCTATTCATAAAAATAAGCTTTTTATTATTGAAGTTTATAGAGGAGTTGGATTGGATTTGCTTAAATTTTTGTATTAATTCCACAAGAAATATTGCTCTTTTCTTTTTCTTTCCCTTAATGTATTTTCTGAGCTTTTAATTAGGCTAATTCACACTTCAGAAAATGGATTTATAAGTTTCTTTCTCTGCTCCTGTTTTCTGAAGAATTATTAACACTGCTTCTTTAAATATATTGTAGATTTCCCTAATGAAAACATTGGAAGCTAGGATTCTTTTTTGAAAGGTTATTGCATATTTATTCAATTTCTTTATAGC